GCTCTCTGTGTTCAGATAACTTCATCTCGGTTGCATCCCTCCTGAGTTCATTTTAAGCCTCGGAAAAGAAGGCTCTTTCAGTGAACTCCGAGGGGGAGGAAGGAGAATTCAGAAATCCTATTGAAGTTTGGAAAGGAAAACTAAAGCGGACCGCGAGCTTTTTTGCAGGCAGCAACAGGGGAAAATCGTAATAAGATCAATATAGAATGGACACAAACCTGAACAAAGGTTCACTAGTCTGCAGTGAGTTGAAGACCTTTGACATACATTGCAGATTAATTGGGCACTGTAAAAAGAAGGGAGGTGGGATTCCAGTTAATTAGTCAAGAAATGAATCAAACTAAACATTATAGGAATTGTCTCCGGGTACCGGTTTGTTAGTGGGGATTTGGGAATCAGCTTTTGTGCAGGACAAATTGGATGTGAGTAGCGTGGTGCTGCCTTGCACTGTAGTTTTGTGAACTGGCGACAGCTCTGGTCCATGGGAAAACTTAAAGGGGACCCAGCGCTGTCACAGAGCCTCATTATCTCATGTCTGATCCCATCTTTCGGGGACAGCACTTAATCAGCAGTGGCACACACAGTCTTTCAGGGCCTTGCTGATAACAACGTGGCCGCATGCAAACCACCGACGCCTTCTCCCTCCCCAGCCGTCCTTCACAGCTTCCCTTTCCTCATTTCTGCCAGAAAAATGCTGCGACGTTGTATTGAAACAACTCTGTGAAGCCCTTCGATGCGGTGCAAGGGGGTGGGGGGGATGAGTGCTAGTGCTTCTGATGCTTGATTCATATTCGTGATCGGCGCCAGCAGCGGAGGGGGACTCTTCAGGACACGTTTTCTAAAGGGTACATAGCCAGAGCTTGATTTAAAACCTCCTGAAATGGCTAGGGGTTCGCGTGGGTTTGGAGCCAGGCCCCACAACACGAAGAGCATTTTACTTGGTGTGGGAACAGGCCATTTTTCTCGAGTAACAATAACAATGCCCCCCCCCCCCAAATCTAAGCTTCAAAGTCAATTTTTCCCCAGTGTCTCAACTGATCTGACCTGTGGCAAAGACCCTGGGTATTGGCAAAGCTGGAGGCTGCAAGTTTTAAACGCTCTGGAAATCTTCGTCTGACGAGTCCCAGGGAAGAAGACTAGGGCGGGCTGGTTCCTGTCCTGCTTTTAAGGCTGCACCTGTACGGAGCAAACACGGCCCCGCCGCTTCCACTCGGCCCCCAGCGGAACACGAGTCTGTTCCAGAGCTCAACAGGTGCTGAGCTGCAGCGCATACGCCTGCTCTCAAGAGAGGAAACAGAGCTCAGTGGAAACCCGGCCGGCCAAATCTGGCCGCTCCTTTTCGTGCCGAACTCCCAAGATTAAAGACTGCAGGATTTAACCCTTTGGAGAGAAGGCACGGATGTGTCCAAACAGGGGGAGTCCCACGCGGGACCTGTTTGGCCCCTAGGATCTGGTACATGTCACCTTCACAGCCAGAGAGAGAAATCTTTGCAGCGTGCTGCTGCCTTCCATGCTTCACCTGCACGTCCAAGGGGGATTCCTTGGGGAGGAGGGATTCACAACGGGGGAAAAAAGAACCCTCAAAATCTCCCCACTTGCTCCAATTTATAATTCATAACCTTGCTTTGATCGGCAACCCCTACGGGAACAATCTGCGGGACGGGGCTCCAATGGGTCTTGGTGGGGAGGAAATCCCAGACAGATCGGTCTGTGCGGGGGAGAGAGCGAGAGTGTGTGCTGAGATTTGCACAAGGTGGGCAGGTAAAATGCGACTGCAAGAGACAGGCTTATCCTAGCGTGAATTCATGGGGGAGCATTCAGGAGCTCACTGTCGAATAACCCCGCTTCTTCCCCCCCCGCCCCAAACCTGTTTTCATGCTAGTGTTTGTTTCCAAGGTCGTAATTAGACACTTGAGTTGAGGCTTGTTCAATCCATTTCCGCCGCGCTGCTTGTTACAGTGCAGGGGGGACAATAGGTGGGAAGAAGGATATGGCTTTATATTCCCGTGGGTGCTCGGGCCCCTCAGCAAACGGGAGCATACACATCTCCTTGGGGAAACGAAGGGGCAGGGAGGTGGTCCCGTTGCTGTGTGTGAAGGAATAAGGTCTCTCATACACTTCCCGTGGGCTTATGTGCAGAGGGTTTGTATTACCTGGTGCCTGTTGGGAAAGGCGGAGAAAGAAAAGAGAACCAGATCACATATTATAGTGTGGTTTGCTCTTCATGTATGATAGTATGAGATTAACACGTATTATTCTGGCCAGGTATTAGTGTACGATGAGAGCCCAGCAATTACAAAGTATTGGCTGACTAGGGTAGTACTCTCCCGCTGGAGACCCTGCTACCCAAACGCACTGCTCGGTTGGGATATCACAGGGCGAAACTGGGGAGACAAACTATCCACTATGCCTGCGTGCTTAGGGTATGATGGCATGGTTGGAGACCCAGACTCAGCTCAGTAGACACTATTGTCCGACCAAGGCTTCTCATTTTATAGGCGCACACTTTGCCCTTTCCTATTTATAAAACCCAGTGAATTTCCCCGGATGATGAAGCAGTTTAATTAATGAATGCTCCGAAGGGATCGCCTCCTCCCACCCCTTATTTGCAGAGCTCACTAATTTGTCTTTTCTTCTATTGTCTGTGTTTGCTTAAGTAATAACATCCCTTTGTGGCTCAGGACTAATTACGTAGTCTCCGGGCTCTGCTGTGACTAGGAATTGAACTGACACCTCGACATATATATATATATATATATATATAATATATGATGGTGATGTAGTTAGTCTATAAACTGCAAATCTACCCGTCTCGGGCGAACATACACACACACACGTAATCTAACTGTTGTGGCTATATAGTTTATGATGTGTGCGTGTGTGATTTAATTATCTGCAAGGTGCAAATCTACCCTGCCTTTTTGTCAAGGAAGTTCGCCAGGCTCCAGCTGACTTGTGGGGCTGAGTGCCCTGCGAACCCCCTCTGCCGACTCCATCTGCCTTTGCTTTCAGGCACTGCACCGCGTTATTTCCCCCAAGCCTCAGCGCTTGGAACATGACGGCTTCGTGCTTCGTTTAGGGCTGTGGGTTTTTACAGCATCACACCCGCACGCCCCGTGTTTTGCCATCAGCCGTAATGTTGCTACCTACTGCCATGTGGGCGCTTTCTCCTGCCTGCGATCGCCTGGACAACCTCGACGTGCCCAGGCTGCCGGCGTCTGAACGGCAGCCCCCCCCCCCTTCCCTCGCAGCCCCAGCTGTAAAATCACGTTATTCCAGCGGGGCAAGGTCAAGTCGCTCTCTCCAAGAAAGCCTGTGGAAATGTAGCAAATTCAGCGCCGCGGCTCCTATTACCCCACCTACTGCTAAAGGCTGCGTTGTCCCAGAGGGGGGCTTTCAAGCCCTGCTGTTTGGACGTGGACGGATGGTCCTTTCTTCAAGAAAGAGTAACGCCCTGGAGAGCCGGTCCGAGCACATGGAGAAGAATCAGACATGTTTCACTTGGGAAGGAGTCTTGTTTTTTTCGTTTAAACACTCAGCGTGCATCAAGCGGGGACCCGAGCTGGAATTGACCCGGGTCAGCTGGAGCGGGAGCACTGGGCGGACAGACATTCATGGAGATCGCTACACACGCCCTTCCCTGCACTGATCCACGGGCTTAGACTTCGGTCTTTCCTGCCATCGCCGCCCGGACCCACTCAAACCCCAGCCATCTCATCCACACCAGAGCTCATTGCTTAAAATAAACCTTGTGAATAAGCCTATCTCCTCTCCTCTAGCCGTACAAAGCAATCCTAACGAGGCATCTCGTATTCATTCACCCAGTTTTGTACAGGGGAAGGCAAAAGGTGGGAGAGGTGTGGTAGAAATAATAGTGCCTCTTCCCAGAAAATAAAATAAAAAGCAAAGAAAAGGAAGACAAGACCAGACTTGTGCGTGTAGAGAAATTCACGCTCTCCATGTATGAAGTGCAACAGAAAGGTATAAAATCAGTTAGTAGTTCTGCAGTGAGCTGTAAAGTTGTCTCTCTGGAAGTATTTCTGATGTATTACTTAACATGCCTATACAGTTATCTGTCTCAGCATTAATGCGTCCATTAAATCACTATTGAGCAGCATCGAGCTATTCCCCCAGTACCTCCTCCCCTGGGAATATGGTTTCTAAACAGGATCAAACATCTGATGCTGACAAGTTATGAGATAAGTTATAATTAATTAGGATTTGCTACATCCACAGAATGGTTATTTTAGGGGGAGATCCGGCCAATAAGGTTTTCAGCTTGCAGGTAGGATCCATAATATTGAACCAAAAAAAAAAAAAAAAAAAGAGTCAAAGGTAGCCCAGCAGAATTGCAAAATCTTGAGCTTTTAGAATGCAATCAAGATTAAAGCAATTCTTGATGGGAAATGCACCATATAACTACCTAATGAAAAACATGGGGACAGTTGGGCTGATAAAGGAACAGCAAGCAGTTCCTTGGATCTGCTTCTGTAGAAAAACAGCTCTCTGGTGTTTAGAAGGCAAAGTTAATTAAAAAATGGCATAAAGAAATGCACTCTCTCTCACACACAAATTCAAGCCCTTAGTTTTTACAAAAGTGTATTTTCTGCAATGTTTTTTCCACATTTAACAAATGCCTTTTCTTCACAAAATCTCTTACAGCGTAAAAAAAATAAATCACATTTTTTACATTGTCACTGTTTTACTTCTGCTGGCCCTGGGACAGAGTCTGTTCAGGTAATAGCTCAGCTTTCCTGTCGATCTCATTCCGCCAGTGTCTTTCTGCTGCAAACTGTTTCAAAAGGTAGCAAACAAATGGATTTGTGTGCAAGTTGGAATTGCCCTTATTTGCTTTGCTTTAACAAACAGCTGAGGGGGGTTTACTTTAAGGCACACTATAAAAACCTACACACAGGGGGCAAGGATGTTAACTGGCAGTGTGGGGTTCTTTTTAAAGTCAAAGTGATTGTTGGGTTTATTTGCTTGTTCTCTGTAATAAATGAGAGCCCTTCAGGTGAGGAGGCGCTGGGAGGGTGGAATGTCAGGACAGATTTACACCTGTCCTTACAGCTTAAATTGACAACCCTTATAGCCTACAGAAATGACCACTGGTGCCAGGCAGTCTGGGGAAGCCAGCAGGTTAACTTTTTTTTCTTCTTCTTCTTGCAACACAACACAAAATGGAAGGAGATTAGCCAAACTGATACATACACACACTCTTTAGCCTCCTCCCCCTCCCCTTCCTAACAGTAAGACAAATATCATAATTGACCCTTTGAAGCCCCTTCTCTGCACCTCCCTGCTAATGAAGGGCTCTCAGACTGCACAGCTGATATATGCACAGCCTCCTGGCTACACCTGCGAAGCAGCCAGAAGAATCTGTTTAAGGGGTGGAGAGGGCAGAAGTCTAAAGCCCTGGCTAGTTCCCAGTCCCCTCAAAAAGGGAGATAACCCTCCCTGCTTTGCCCATTCCTTATACCTTGCTGACAGAGCCTATCCAGATGCCTCAGGAATCCAGCCTTGTTGAAGCTGAAATCTTTGGTGAAGAGGACAAAGGCTGCATTCCCATCGCACAAGGGCCTGTTGCCACCTCTTAGTGCCTGCTGAAAACTGCCCTCAGGCAAGTCCTTGAGTGTGGAGTCTTGTGGAGCCAGGACCACTCAGCCACTGCATTCAATGCACCAGGGCCCACTCCAGTCATTCAAACTAGGACAGCTGCGGAGGCCTGGCAGATATATTAGCTGCAAGAGGGGAAAAGGAGCAAGTGAGAGAATATGCGCTGAAGTTTCAATAGCTAGTAGCATTGTACCAAAGATGACCTAATATCATGCAAATGCTTTTTTATGCTAGAAGGTCACCAACATGTCCATAAGCCCCTACCATTAGGATTTAAGGGTTAAACCCACAAAAGGACTTCAGCACTGCCACAATCAGTACTCTGTCAATTGGGTGAATCATCAGTGAGCCCTGTATTAGGGAGAGTTAGATGTCTAGGATTCACAGGTGCCTGCAGGCTACTGGAGGTGTTGCCTAAGGTGTCTTATTGGAAATGTCAAACTAAGCAGTGATTCTCAACCTGGGGGTCTACAGACTATGTCTAAGGGGTCCACAAAAGACAACTATGATCAATCAAAAGTATGTGAATACCCACACTTCCAATTCCAAGAGGTCTGCACTTCCATTTAACATTTCCAAAGGGATCTGCATCTCCACTGGACATTTTTAGGGATCTGCAAGTGGAAAAGAAGGTTGAAAACTGCTGTTCTAAGGTATTTAGACATCTAACTCTGCTTGGGCTCCTCAGCCATGAACCTCTCCTGGAGTTCAGTGACAACACCAGGTTGTCCCTTTCTTATGGAAAACCAGACTCCCCCATCCCATTAGACCCAAGAGATCAGTGACCTGCAGTCATCTGGAAGAGAGGAGACCTGTTTTCAAATCTGCCTGATTTAGAACAAAGGCTTGAACCCAAGCCTTCCATATCCCATGAGAGTGCCCCAATTATCACTTTATTGAGTAGCTTGAGGTGAGGGAGCAGGGTAAATGCATTATTGTATAGTACTTAAGGATGAATCTGTTCTTCTGAGGTAAAAATTAAACCCTGTCCAAGAGTTTGTGAAAAGACAGTTAGTGATAGTGATGAAACTTGGGGCATAGATGGACGTCACCTTTTGCTTGTTCTCTGCACATGGATAAAATTCACCACTTAATTGAGGGGGGGTGACTGGGGTTAGTTGATTGGGATAACAGTTGCAGGTTGGGAAATGTTGGGTTGGAAGAAATTAGGTGAGCTTGATAGACTGTGAATATGCTCCGAGAGGCCTTGGAGTCTTTGGAATGAGCCTATTCAAACAAGTTATTATATTTATTTTGTTTTGTAATGGTTGTAATTTTATAACGTGCTCTGAGGTAGGCAGGTTCAGTGGACACATTGGAATAAATGCCTAGAAATTGCAGCTAATAAAATTGCTAGAGATTAACTGCAGTATAGCAGATAAGCATCTATTTTGTAATCTGCAAAGTGCATGCTTCAGATCTGCAACTGTGACTGAACTTGCAAACAATAACTGCTCTCTGAAAGAGCCCTCTTAAAGGAAATAGTTTAAGATGCTGTTTTGGGGAAAGCACAGAGCATGTTATAAGGACTACCTGGTTTTAAGGGTTAATTGTTAATTAGATAAGTGAATGCACATGCACTACAATGCAAAGTTAAATAGCTGCACCTCCAAACCATTGGGAAGGCTGAATGAGGTTGCCCACTTGTTCAGCAGAGCCTCCTGTTCAAGCCACAACATACCTGCACTCCGAAATCCGCACAGGTGACCAGTTACCAGGATATGTGAAAGGTGTTAATCTTGACTGTTACAAACCTACCTGGCTAGCTGAGATTACTAGGATTTTAACAGTCTCTGACTCGCATGAAGGGGTTGGTGCTGACAGCAGGCTTTGCTCTTAGCTAGACAATTCACTTCTCTCTTTCACTTACTGAAATCCAGATTTTGCCATGCTTCAGGGCATAGTGCAGGATCCTTTTGCCCTCCAAAGCATGGTCTGGAGGTGGGGAGTACATTCAAAGTAGGGAAGAAGCTGGTTTGAGATGCTATACAAATTAGAAAGATACTTTAGCGTGACAATGTGGGGTTTTTTTTTGTATGATATATAGGTGCAGGCTGGTTTGGATACCTTGCTTTAATATTTTATTAAAACCTAGCATTGTACTTAGAGGCTGTGATATAAGCACACTAGGTGGACCAGAATAAAATCAATAGGCACCTGATCTACAACCCACTTAAGGTCAATAGAAAGCCTCCCATTGACTTCTATAGGCTTTGGGTCAAGACCTAACCACATAAATATCAAACAGCCCGGAGATTAGCATTCAGCAAAATAATAAAAGATGGGGTTTTAAATGCTGGCACAAGGACATTTGGAAATGGAAGGGGAGAAAAATTAGTTCATGTACATTACAAAGCATTCATAACCCTAAGTAATGTGGTGACTCCAGATTTTTTTTTTGAAGGAGAAGCTGTGAAATGTATCAGCTCTTTGTACCTTTCACCACAAGTGATAGTTTTCCTAAGGGCATGTGTGTATGAGATAAACATGGGTGAGTACACACATCCACACACGCACACACATTGCTTGTACGTTCCTGAGAAAATGAGTGATGGCCAAATTGCCCAGCAGCCTTCACTTTTTTCACATTTCTCTCCAGGTTTGCACCAAGAACAGGTGGCTTTCGCACCTAGCACATATTTTTCCTGGCTGAGTGTTAACAGTGAAATGAAATCCTTTTCTTTGACTTGGAATTTTGATGGGAGATGTAAAGGCGTCTCGTTGGGGTGGGCGTGCCATATCTTTCTACACCAACATTCATCATTTCTTTGTTGAAAAAGAGAGCAATAAACTGTACCCCGTGCCTGTTATTACTCTGCAAATTCAAAGGCGTCTCATTTTTTAATAGGCCCTTAGCCATAATGCATGCGTCTCATCATCTATCATCTTGCAGTGACATCTTCCTTGATGCAAGAAGATGGTGAGTGATGCTGCTAAATATGAAGAGTAAGGCAGAGAAGACGAAACCGGCAGCAGGGGGAGAACTGTAGCTTTTCACAGCCACAGGTAATAAGAGAGAGGGGGAGACTGTGGCATGTTCTAGGCAGGTGCTCATGGGAAGCAGAAGCATAAAACTGCCTTTCTCTCCTCAGGCTACTTGCATTACAGAACATAGTGAAGCCACTCCTCTTCTAGTGCAGGTAAGTAGGAAATGGCTACTCAAGGGCCAGGGACTGAAACATTGATTCTTTCCTTTGGCATGGCAGCCTGCATGGAGGAGGAAATGACCTTCTCTATGTTAAGGGCCTGCTCAAATTATTTTCCCTCAGAGCACAGGAGGAGGCCCCGGGGACAAACTGACTCACTCATGAATTAGATTGTCTTTTCTCATAGGGGGTGCAATTGCACACATTACATTTTCTGTAAGGATAATTTATGTTAAATCCACAGTCAAGCATTAAATACAAGCAAAACATTCTCTAATATACCTGCCCTCCTTTCTGTCTTGAAGAAATTGTTTTAAAAGGAAAAGGCCAGAACTTTAGCTTCAGTAAAACAGAGTAGCCCAAGTAAAACCAATGGAGCCAAGCTGACTTATACCCACTGAGAATATGGTCTTATCATCTGCTGCACTACAAACCATGATATCAGTACCAGCAGACAGAGATTTGCAAGACTTCTGCTGTTCTCTGTAAAGTGGAGCTTACTGCAATATTGTGTTGCCTCCAATCCATTTGCAAAGGCCTTAAATGGCAACAGCTGATTTTGACAGCTTAGCGGTAAATCTTTCACTTTCCCCAAAAGGGATTGGCAGTATAGAGTTGATTTTTCTTTTCCAACTTTGCCTAGCAACCTTTTTCCTATCACATAGTATCATGGAAAAAACGACATGCTGTAATTACTGTTTATGGTGTCTTTCCTACCCGCGCTTTAAAGGACTTTGAAGTATAAAGGAATTTTAACTCAGGGGCCCAAGTGAGGTAGATAAGCATTACAATGTCCATTTCACTTAGGAGTAAGCTGAGGCACAGAAAAGATAAATCTTTGATTTTTCAGAAGTGTCTGCTTAGTTGGAGGACCTCATTTTCTGAGTGCTCAAGGCATAAGATAACTACTAGGTGATGCTAAACACCTAAAGCTCCAGTGAAAACCAAGAGAATCTGTAGATAAACTGCACCCCTGGAAATCAGTCTGATGGTGTCTCACACTGGACACCCAGAAGTCCAGGCACCCAAAACTGGCAAACATTTTAAAAATGTTGGTCTGAGTAACTGATCATGGTCACACATTTTGTGCCCATGATAGGAAGAGAATGCAGGAGTCCAGACACTTACTATATCCACCTTTTTACTTTCACTGCATAAATTTCAGTAGATATGGTTGTAGAAGTAAGTAAACACACAGCATTTAATACCACCTGTCAGAGAGCTGACTTACAAGGAGTTGATTCAGGGTGGGAAAGCAGTATTCCCAATTGATCTTATAAGATGCTCAATGCCTGTACTTGTCATGAGATAAAGTTGTCACATTAGAAAAAAAAGAGGATGCACTTAAATTACATTAGCAGCAGGAACTAAAGGGGAGTGCGTATTAGACCACCAAGGCAGAAGGAGAGAATCAAGTACAAAAGAGAGTTCAAAGTAGACACAGGATTTCTATTACAGGGACTCATTGAACAAAGCACTGTACAAACAGATAGCACAACAGGATTCCTACCCTACAGTTAGCAACATCTAAACACACAAGACATGGCATGTGAGGGGACAGTGAGACACAGAGGTCTTTCAAGTGACTTGCTCCAAGTCATCCAGCTGGTCAAGAATAAATAATCCAGGTCTCAGGTCCCATTCCATTGCCTCATCCACTTTGCCATACTGCCTCTGTCCACCATTTCTTTGATGCAAGCACTATCCTAGAGCAGTGATTCTCAACTAGGGTGCCATAGCACCCTAGGATGCCTTGAGATCCTTTCAAGGGTGCCATACTATGTTAGCACTGTTAAGTGTGCAAACATGATTCATAAGATAAACCCACAGATTTCAAATAGAAATTCATAGCTGTGGTCTTTCTGAGGACTTTGCAAGAGCTAAACTGCTCTATTATTTTTTTTGTAGTCAAAAAAGAGTGAAAACTAAGGGCTGGCATTTTCCAAGGAGTGCCTTGAGTCTATCCAGGGGTGCCTTGAGTCTAAAAAGATTGAGAACCACTGCCCCAGAGGATGATGGTATCTATTCCATACTTATTTTTATGCAACCAGTGAATATGAGGAAGTGTACAAGGCAGATATATTGAAACAAGGGACTGTTACACCACACGAGGCAATTGCAACAAATCACATAGACCATGTTGAATTCACCTGAGAACTACGCATACCAACGAAAATTAGGAAGCCACATACTAGTGGCGTAAATCAATATAGCTCCATGGTAGTCTACAGAGATACATATAACACCTAAGGATCTGGCCCCTGGTACTTACCACTAACCACAGGTATGAAATAAAAGGATTATTGAGCCACCAAGTCCACACCCATCTTAGCAAAATTAGAAAGAAGGATCCCAGGCCAGTGAATTGAATTTTACCAGCAGGTGAACAGATAATTTAAAAATGTGTTATAAAAGGGCCTTGATAAACATGTTATAAATTGGGAGAAAAGAACAAAGCTTCACTATGGGTATATCATGACTCATTTATCCATATAAATTCTCAGAAAGAGTTAACAAAATAGTTGGCAGAGAGTATATTTTATGGAGAGGTTCAAGGGGTTTTGATAAAAGTCCTTTACTGGAGTCTCTGAAGGATATTTTATAATCAGGTGGTTGGGAGATAAAATGCTGTCACAGATTAAAAACTTGTTGAGACAGAAAGCAGAGAGTAGGAAATAAAACAGCAAATGACAAGCATGGAATTAATTTTAGAGAGGTGTCTCCAGGATGATTTTGGAAAGCAGCTAAGAGCAGGCTGTTTTTGTGATTAGTATTAATTTGCAATAGGAGAATATATAACAACAACCATAATAATAAACATGGCTGATCCAGTATCTATAGAAATAGAAGAAACTTTTGTCATTCCCTACTTCAATTTGAGTAGCCTCAGGCCCAAAGGAAGTATAAGGTGCTTTTAAAGGAAAGAAACATTCATACTTTCCCAACCTGTTCAGGCTGGTGACCCCTTACTTGAAGTAAAAAATGTTCACAACCCCTTAATTTATTATAAAAGTAAAAGTAAAAAACATATCAACAATAACAGTCATAACTCTGCATGGTTCATTTATGGATGTGTGTTTCAGGAGGTTAAAAGAGAATACCTGACCTTAAAAGGTAGGGGAGTGTTAGCAGAGGAGCATGATTTTCTTTGCAAGAGTGTCATAAAATTTTCAATGACTCACAACACACCAATTGCCTTTCATGATCCCCCAGAGGGTTGCGACCTAATGTTTGAGACGCATTGAAATGGAAGAGGTTATTGAAAAAAACAGAAATGTTTTGCTGGTAATTTCCAAATACTGAGGTCAGTCAAGATTAGGTAGAACTGTTATACATTCCAGAGAAACCTGAGAAAATGACATAACTGGGCAAGCTGCTAGCAAGCAAACTTCAACTACTTACAAATGCAAGTTAGCACCGTTGGCAACCAACCCATATGTGGACAGCCAGTGTGTTTGGCATGAAAGTCCTGACTGTCAAGTTAATGGGATCCCTGGCAATGGGAGTTAAGGTAACAGTTGGGGAGGGAAAGTGTATTAGAGAAGCACTTAGGGAAAGGAAGGGTGTTGGGGGTTGGTGCTGGCAGAAGAGTTTGGGACCATGGAAGCTACAAGGGTAGGTGCCACCAAATTCAATGTTGCTATGTCTTGGTGGCAACAGGGCTTGGCAGCACTGGGTGAGGGCAGTGGCTGATTAGAGTACCACTATTTCAGACTGGATTTGTAGCACACTTGCCAAAAAAGTGTGCCACGACTGGCATTCACTGACCACAAATTCTAGTACACTAATGCAGTTTGATGAGTTCCAAAACTCTGGTAGTTTCAGAGCATAAAAGTAGGCACAGCCCTGTCAGCACCTTGCTGAAGATGTTTGTTCAATGGGCATCAGCAGTCAAAGAATTAAATAAGGCTCTAACCTAGTAAGTAGGATTGGGCTGTGCCAATTACTTTCATGAGAGATCTTTGAAAAACAACTATGCACTACAGAAGCTGATGATAGGGATTTACTTGATTAATCTGCTCTAAGACCGTACTAAACCAATTGAAGGCACATTGCTTCTGCAAGTGCCATACTGAAGATGAGACAAACCCAAGGTCCTGGCCACTTGGGGATTTCAAGATCTCATGGCTATTTTCACAAAAAACCCAGGAGCAATCAAATGGAAGGTGAGGCAGGGAAATCCCCTTCTCTCTGGGGAATTCATTCCCCCTTGCAGATTCTGTTATATATTTGCTACTAGAGACACCTTTGAGATCCAGATCAGAGTTTTCTTAAACCACACATCTCCCAACCTGCCCAGTTCCCCATACTGTCAACTAACTCAGCATAGGAATATCTGACACAGAATAGAAAAGGACTTTGAACCATTGACCCTAGTCCCTCCTATCATCATGTCATATAATTCTATGCATAGACTTAACGAGCTCCATCTTGACACTAGCTATTTTTTTTTCTCCCACTAGACCTACCGGAAGCCTGGCCCAGAACGTCACTCTTCTAGTGGTTAGAAACCTTTTTTTCTGATACCCAGCAAAGAGATATTGTCATATAAGCTTGGTGCTATGTTTGTGTTTCAGAACCACTGAAAGAGATCCCAGGATTTTAACCATGTACAGCTAACTGGAGACAAGTGAGGAACTGGCATTGCTAATTCTTTTTGCTTCACCATTTTACTATCCATCCCTCTTTCTTTGGCTGCAGTCAATGTAATGTAAAAGAAGTTCAAAGCTTACTCGATTTCCCAGGTACTGTTCATTCTGTTGTGCTATTTGCACTGCACAGTGAGGTGCTCTCACAGACCAGGCTGCCCTGGGGACAAATGTGAGTGAAAGCAAGCTTCTGAGGAACTGACACTGACTTATTTTGGACCCTTGGCCCAGTTACTGGTACATTGTACTATTTATTGGGAGACCTGGGGCCTGATTCACCTCTGAATTACTCGTTTTATACTGCAGCAACCCTGATGATTTCAATGGAATTACAGCAGTATAAAAGAGACACAGGTGATGCTGAACCTGTATACATTTTCAACTGCCTTTCATTAGCTATTTAGTTAGTTAGACAGACTTGGATGATTAAATACTGAAACCAAATAAAATTGACGGAACCTATTCATACTAAAGGCAGAGTGCAGAGCTTCTCAGCTCCCACAGATTTTAAGGGCAATAGAAAGTGTTTGGCACTTTAAGGAACTGAACCCTGAGCAAGGAAGCTATTGCACAGACACTAGGGGCTGCAAACACAGCAGCTCTTAGAACAGAACACAAGAGACCCAAACATGCTCTGCCTTACAGCTGAGATCCTGGGAATCCTGAACATAATGCTTAGAACTGATACCAAAACCAGAGATATTTGGGTAATTTCCAGATATAAGTCTGTTGGATAGTCAGATGGCTGGTGGAACCAGTGCTATTACTGCCCTTGCAGCTCTGCTTGAATGCTGGTTCCCAGGCATTACAATCTACTTGTGCAAGCTGTATTTACCAAACAGCCTGGAGAGCTGGTCTGCATGGAGTCGAAGCATTCTACTGACACTGAAAGTTCAAGAAGTCCAAGGAGTGATTTGTTGCAAAATCTTTTGACCCAGTGTGAACAAGGCCACTGGACTCACTTGTTTTACTTCATTCTCAGACTCTCATTGAGCTTGACTTGGAAAAAACTTAAAAACAGTAAGAAAGGGAGATGGCCTTAGTCACACAAAGACATTCTGCTCCCCCCCACATAACTATGTCAAAGGGTCCCCAGTGGTAGAATCAGTGTGGTTTCACAGTGTACGTAATGGAAAGACTGAGTAGAAGGGAGACAACACAGAAGGGATATACAACAAGAGCAGTTCAGAGTCAACTCATGGTTTTCTGCTCACCAAGGCAAAGATACAGCTCTAATCCTGATCTGTAGATCTCCCCCTTCCCTCAATGGAAATTCTGTCAAAACTGGTTTATAATGGAATATTATGGGCATATTTCAACATTTTTGGAAAGAATGAGTCAGCTTCCAATGAAATATTCCCATGGACTGCTGCATCATAGAATTTTTCTGGAAAAGTTATATTTTGCATGAAAATTGGGGGGGGGGGGGGGGGTGTCAAAAAGTTGATTTTTTTCCCCTCATGGGACATGTTAATACAATTGATTTTTTTTGTTTTTCTTCAATTATCCATGATAAAAAAGAAACATTTTCTGACCTGGTTGAATTAAATGGTTTGAGTTGTATATGTTTCTAATGTGTAAATTATTAATATATTGTGACACAAATCAGAGACCAAGTTTGAGATAAGGGCTATTGTTTATTGGTGTAGCTCCACTGAAACCAGTTGAACTAGGAAGATTTACCTGGCTGAGAACGTTTTCTAACTTGCACTTTCACAACTACCATTCAGTGATCCAGCTCAAGGAAGATAGTGTACTCCTTTCAGGACAGGAGATCTCTCACAGTATGGGAGTGGGATTCCTGCTTCAGCCCACATGAGGTAAAAGGGATGAATTGCCTCAAAGAGATTACTCTTAAAATAAAATTTAACTAAACAACATATTTTCACCGGTCCCTCCCCAGTCTGGAGCTGTACAAAAAAGTTTAGAGGCCTTGCCTATAGCCCTTGCTTATTTGCTTGTAAGACTGATGCTCCATCTGCCTTTCTGACCTTTTGGGGTAGCATTTTCCAAAAGAGGGAGACTCAATTTTGCTACGCTCAAGTTTTTTAGAAGAAACACATAGTCAAAGGTTGTGTTAAGCCCCATCTGACTAGTATAGGTAAGACCTACTAGTTTCTGTAGCAGGCAACACACAAGGAAGTGATACAGCTTAGCTAGCACCATGTCCAGCTGTCTGACATCCAAGCCCAAATGACCTGGTGCCCATTTATAGCTGGGTCAACTTGCCTTTAGTACAAGCCCAGAATAAGCTTTAAATGTCCATCCCTGGTGTCACAGCAAGTTATCTTAACTGCCCTGCCACTGTGCCACACACATTGACATGGCTGGTATAACATAATTCTTTACAAAAGTTATAGGATTCCAATCATTCTCTCGATAATGTTCTCATTCTCATGCTGGGGCATAGAGTCTCCATTGATTTATGGTGGGCTCTTCCATTAGCTATGCCCCTTCCTGCTGCTTGGTAACAAGGTGTGAACTTCAGGGAGTAAATAAATGAACAGACTGTCAGGCCAGCTGAGCAACATCCTCAACTGAGATAAGTTGGCAGACAGCTTTGATTTCAGTGGCTGGGTTGCATCAGCCAGGACTTAGTCCAGTTAGTTGTCATCAATCCAGATTTGTTTTCCCTTCACCAACAGAAATGCTGAAACATGATTGAATAAAATGACCACCCCTCTCCTGGATGGCCCTGTAGCATTAAATTTTTTCCTTCTCCCTGCTTAGCATTTCTTTTCTGCTAGTGACCTTTTTAGTGAGGATAAAAATACAATTTTACTATTTGTAGGTCACGGTATTTCACAGGTATGAGAGGCCTTTTATAGCATACAAGCAAATGGCAAAGAACATAATTTGATTACCCTTTAAACTCCCAATAAAGGTGCTAAAAGACTAGAGTGTTTTCATGTGCTGTGTATAGCCTTAATCTACTTGGTAATACACATGAATGTTCTTCCATCACAGTGAATTTGTTGAATGTCTGCAATTTTCTATCATCCTTGGACCCAGCAAAGAAAAAAACAAAAAAAAATGCCTTGTTAAGTAGCAATTCAAAGCCTGTTTTTCTCCAGAGAGACAGGTGGAACCACCTTAGTGAGTTCATGTCTGAGAAAATAAGGCACTTTAGGCTAAATCTACCAAGGAAGTTGGTGCTGGATCACCTAACTTTTAGGTATTCTGTCACCTAGTATAAGGGTTGGGAACCTATGGCCTGTAAAGCTGGTGGGAGAGCAGGTAGTAGTGAAGGGTCCCAGAGCTACACACCTGCTCCTGCTTTTCCCTGTGGGAGATGTCACTGTTGCAGAGAAAGGTGTGCTCACAGCCAGCAGCAAGGGAATTAACACAGCCCCCCTATTGCCTCTGTTGCCTTTCTCACCACAGATTCATCCTTGCTGATTGCTGCTGGCAATGGGATTCAACAGCATTTGGTGACAGGGTTGAGGAGTGATGGCTGCAGTAGGGGGGTGCCAGACAGTCCCTGCACCTGGTGGCCATGCCAACACCATTCCTTTTAGCAGCTGTATCTTTTAAGGGGATGAGGGGCTATGAGGCTGACAAAGGCACTGGAGCTACCAGGATGTGAAATCCATGCTACTTGTGTTAGCTGTGCACCAGGAGGTATTGGGGGAGGTGGGAGGTGGAAATCACCTGATAAGGGGAGGAAATCAGAAGCCCACAGCAACCCATCATTGTTTAAAAGGTTGCCAGGACCTGACTTAATTGATTCCACGGCCAAAAATAAGTGCCTAGGCTCCGTCGCTTCCTCTGCCTGAAAAATGGTGTTTGTACCTGAAATTTTGAACCTAGGTCAGCCACATCCCAAGAGGATGCTGTAACTCCTATGTTATGCCATATAAATAAATAACCACCTTTTCCTCCGTGCTATATTTCTATATGGATGTCTGGAGAACACCTATCAAATTGGGCTTTGAATTTCTTCCTGAGCCTTCAAATGGCCCGACCAAAAACACAGCACAAAGAGAGTTTTGAACTGACATTTATTATTCATTTCAGGGCTTAGCTCCTTCATGCTTTGAAAATCCAGCCAGCAAACTCAGTGAGGTGACACCTCTGAATCCTAATGATGTCACCCTGAAGGTCGATATTCCAAACTCTTGATTTGTTGAAAATTTTAACAAACACCCAGACACTCTCTTAAAATGGGAGAGCTTCAACAAAATAACTGTCGCATCCCCCTTAAGCCCTGGATGCAAACACTACTGAAATAGCTGCTAGTGCTTTTCTCTTCCATGAGGCCTCTCCTACAGCCAGCCTTATACATTTTGACTGATGGAAAACTTGTGTCTCTGTCCTACTGCTCAGGTGTAAGCAATTCAGAGATATTACCCTTGCTTATACCTCCTTTCTCTCTCTCTAATCTTAGAAGGCACCAGCCATTTAACTACCATCAGCACAAGAGAATGGGAGGCAAAAAGGAACTGTCAATTTGTACTTACAACACAAAGTACTTACGTCAACGGAACATGGGCATCTTCTATTCAAATGATATTTAAAGAGTAAGGGTTTACCTACACAGTGAAATTGACTATCAGGACTTTTAAAAATGCAAATTATATTGAAAAGGGTCATTTAAATAAAGAAATAGTCCCCACAGAGAATTATACTGGCACAGCTACAACAGCATAATTTTAACTTCACAGTTCTGCTAGTCAGTTGCTCAATTTAGACCTACTCTAAGAAGCTCTAGAGTAGCAATGTGCATTGTGTCTTAGAGGTAAAACCAGAGCCATAAAGTCTTTCAACATATAAATGGCATTTATAACAGTATTTCCACACATGAACAGTGTGATATGATCTAGATTTCTGCACAAAAAAGGATTGATTTTTATGAACAGGTTTTTTCCATCAGCAAAGCTTTCAAAGAAGTGGATTATTTCACAGTGTGAAAAATTCTTGGGCAGCTGATTTTTAAGCAGAATGCTCTATCTTGTTTAGGATCCCTATCAGCTAGTAAAATTAAAAATAACAGCACCAGCATCTGTATGCCTGATGCCT